AAGCCCGGCCCGGCCCGCCCACAAAAGCCCGGCCCGTTAGGCCCGCATACATATATAATTATGTATAAATAAGGGTTTAGGATTAGGATTACATCACTTGAATGACAAATCTCCCTCTTTAATTTTTTTTTGTGTGTTACTTGTTATAAAAATTGTGTTTGTTTCCATTGAATTCTACTCATTCCTAGTTTATAATTGGATGATTAGCACATTAATTTGTGTCATTTATTAATACAACAATTATATATATATATATATAATAAGACAAACAACATATCATATCACCAAACATAATCATACCACCAAATATAATCATACTTTTCTTTAACACATCACCAAACATTTGCATATTTATTCATACCATCCTTATAAATTTTTTTATTTTTATTTTTATTTTTTTTACACTTATTATTTTTTAGGCCCATTTCGGCCCGGCCCGTTGGGCTTAGCCCGGCCTGGCCCGATGGGCTTTTTAAAGCTCGGCTCATGAGATGGGCTTGGGCTTTAAATTTTCTTAAAAAGCCCAGCCCGGCCCGGCCCGATATTTTCTCTCTCCTCTTTAAAGCCCGGCCCGGCCCGGCCCAAGCCCATTAAATTTGGGCCGGGCTGACGAGCCTTACATTTGAGTTGGGATTAATTCCATCATCATCATCATCAACACCAAGCAGATAATTGACACAACACTACTACAAAAATCGCAATAGACGACTGTAATCCACCGTCGTGTATCCGGTTTTTCAATCGTCATGAAATCGACTGACATCTTTTGATACTGAAAACCACAACGGTAAATCCCGTCGTCTATTATTTGTAAAGACGACGGTTTTTTTTGAAAGAACTGTCGTTTATTATAGCAAAAGACGTCGGGTTATTGTCGTCTATTATATGTAAAGACAACGGTTGTTTTTAAAGAAATGTCGTTTATTATATCCAAAGACGTCGGGTTTGTAAAAAAGCCGTCGTCTTTACATCTAATAGATGACGACTTTTTTTAAAGAACTATCGTCTATTAGATGTAAAGACGACGGTTTTTTGAAAGAACTGTCGTTTATCATATCCAAAGATGTCGGGTTTATTAAAAAACCGTCGTCTATTAATTGTGAAGATGACGGTTTCTTGAAATACTGTCGTCTATTAACTCTAAGACGACGATTTTTTCAACAAAACTGTTGTCTATTAATTGTAAAATTGATGAAAGAATTTTTCATGTTAGCTTTTTTTTTTTTTTTTTTTTTTTTTTTTTTTTTTTTTTTTTTTTTCTTGTTTCCAATGGTTTCAGAAATATATATTCAGATATGCTATTATCCACACCACACTATATACTCAAAAATTGTTTCTTTCATAAATAGAATATCAAGAGTACAATAGAACAAAATAAAATCTGAAAAATGAAAGTACTCTAGGGCTACTAGCTGCAAGCTGCAAGCCAAATTACAATAATACACCAAAATTCCTATACCTAATTATCCTTCAAGTCAAGTTCTCCATATGTATACAAAGCTATTCCCCTGCATTTAATAGCAGGTTGAACCAACACTACTTCCCCCATGCTAGCAGTAACTTTGTTAGAACCACTTCCATGGCTTAGGAAACTGCTTAACAAGCCAAAATAATGTAATAGTGAGATATACAATCCAAATAATTATAGAAGTCACTTTATTGCCTCTAAGCCACTAATCAAGTAAACACACACATGGCCTATTTCCCATGACAGCACAAAACAAAAGATTGGATATTTAGACTCAAGGCAGAGACACTCACATGTTTTCTGTACAAAGAATTAAATTAAGGACAAGCCTGTAAAAAAAACATATAAGAAACAAGATGGGTTACGGGTAAAAGATCAAGTGCTTGGTCTTTTGTCCAACAGCAGCACATTATCCAACACTAAATAAGGGAAGAACAACACAACCATAGAATTGGAGAAATGCAAACTTCACTCACCTTTCAGATTCTCACAACCAAGCATATAGAAGTTATAAGCTTTAACAAAAATAAAGTTCAACTTTTCAGAAAATATTAAAATTGAAATTATGTAAATTACAGTATTCAGTAAGTAATTGGTATGCAATTTTAGAACTCAGTGGTTGCAGTACCTGGAGGATATGGAATGCAAAGTAAGGGTGTTGGGGACACAAGATACACTCTTGGATGAGACTGGATCACACTACTTCTACCAAAGTCACATTCAAGGAAGCGTAGACTTCATATTTGGTAGATCAAGAAAATTGGAAACAACACTACCAAGTCTTTAAATTCAAAATAAGAACACAATAAACAAACTCATTTTTAAGTAGGATGGCTACATTGCAAACACGTCCAATTTTAAGAGTATGTGATTGTAACCTCCACTTCCACACTAGGTTCAATTGTAATGGAAGTAATTTGCTTGACGACATCAGGAGAGCTGAAGAGGCCAATCACCCTCTTGTGGATACGCAACTCAAATTTGTCCCATGTGTTGGTACCTGTAAATTACCAACAAAAATTTAAAGGTACATAACCCTTTAAAATGCAAATGCAGAGACACTGTACTTCAATAACTGGTCAGTTATGAATAGGCCACAGGTAACTTGGCACAAACAAGAGAACTCCCAACTTTGAGTAAATGGCCATAAAAGCCATAAGCCTTGCCTTGCCCATAAAGCATCAAGCCATAAGTTAACAACAAGAACATTCACAGTGAATCATACCTTCACCACAAAGGGTACTTCCTGGTGGTAATGTGCAGAACCTTGGTTGGCATTCTCACGGGTCCATTAACCCAGAGCCTCTTGTCCTTTGCACCACAAACCAGCACTACAAGAAAAAAGGTCTGTAGTGACCAATTTCTTAGTGACCACATCTACAATGGTCACAAATAGTGTGCATTTAGTGACTAATTATGCTAAATGGTCTCTAAAATGATTGGGACATAATTTTTAATTTTTAATAACCAAAATTGGTGACAAATAGTGACTAATTTAAATTTAATCACTGAAAACAACTTAAATTGCCTAATTAGTGACCAATATATATATGCAACGGTGGACTTACTTCTTTTCTATCACACATTTTTACCAAAAAAAGGAGGCTAGTACTTTGGAACGATTGTCTTGAGCGAGCGAGCACCGATCGTCGTCTTCGGCGAGAGCGAGCGAGCACCGACCGTCTTCTTCAGCGAGAGCGAGCAGCGATCGTCTTCTTCATCGAGAGCGAGCAGCAATCGTCTTCTTTGTCGAGCGAGCGAGTGTCCTCTTCGTCTCTGTGGTTTTGATTTCTAGGTTTTGTCCTAATTTCAGGTGAGCTTTCGATTTGTCTGTGGTTTCAATGTCAGCTTTCGATCTCTATCCCTCTACATGGTTTTCTATCTCCCTCAATCTCTCTCTGAAATCATCTAGGTTTCATCTGGAAGCTTCTTTGCTCTCAATTACCCAGGTGCGCTCTCTATTCTTGTGCTTCATTTCGATTTTTTAATTGTGGTTTCGATTGATTTTGATACAAGTTTGATTTCAATTTGAGTTAGATTTTGAGTTCGACGTTGAGTTTGATTATCTCCCAAAAATTTCATGCCCCGATTTCCTAAATTCTCAGTTTCTCCTAACTGTCATTTGGTTTGGGTTGTGATTTTCATTATGAATAAGAATATGTTCTGTTTGATTATATTTACTTCAAGAGATTATGTGTTTCCGATGTGCAAGTTTGGTGAGCAAATAAGAATATGTTCTGTTACTCTTAAAAGAATATGTTTTGTTAATGATTTTTAAACTTGTTTTAGAGTGTTTTAGAATGAGATAAATGGTATATCCCTCTCATACAGATCATCTACATACATATGTTGCATTGCATAGTAAAGAAGAAGCAGAGAATAACTATCTAAACTCGTTTTCATCTGGATACAAAGAAGAAGCACTGTAGCAGAGGCAGTCATGAACTGATACTCTGGTTCCACAAGCTGCCACTACGACAAAAAATGTTTTTAAGTCTCAAGGTACATTAGACCAATTTACCAGGTTTGATTTCTATTTTTTTAATTTTAAAGTTAAAATTTTTGTTTTGTTTATTCTCTTTTGCTTATTTTTCTACAGAGTTTTGGCCCCAAGGGCTTGGTTGTG